ATGCGATATCTCTGTAATTAGTACAGATTATCTGACTCCAATATAATCGTTAAAATACTGATTGTCAACTCCAAAAACTATAGATTTGGACCGATGTTCCGTCATACATGTTCACCTTTGAGGAGCATCAAATTTAGGCTTAACTGCCACCAGCAAAGCCCTTATCATCCCGGTTTTTCACAACCAGTTTTTTTTAACTGACATCAGTTTATGATAAAAACTACTTTCAAAATATTTGATTCAATTTTCTTTAAGAATGAGTACATCAAATACCATAGAATTGTATATCTTTACTAGTACTTTCTATGACTTTTAGCGCCTCCGGGTGGGCTCACCACTTTTGTGGCCCGTTAATCTGACTCCTATTTAGAGCGTATAAATATTTGCCATCGCTGATTCTCGTATATCATCGTCGACTTAAATCGCGTTATCCAATAACGGAATTAAATAAGTCGAATAACCAGAATTGACTTGAGAATACATATATTTCGCATATGAAGCGAATAAAAGGGTAGAGCAAAATGACACGTATGGAAGATGGCTGGGAAGCCAACTCCCGTTTTTGAATAAGATATATTATGGGCTAAAACTAATGACTAACACTACAGACTATTGCTCAAGATTAATTTGAAAGAGTTTGAGGTTTCATAGTGAACGCGTTCATGATTAATCAGTGAATAAACGCTTAGATATCTAAAGTACTGCATAGTATGTTCTTGTGTCCTAGGACATATTTATATCCAAATGTAGAGTTATGAAATATAATGAAATGTGAATCATGAAATTAAGTACTAGTTACTACCCACAAAAGTGAATCAAAATAACTTGTGGTCAGTTTCAGTTGAAGTTGTGTTTTGAATACTTAAATACATTTGTGTTAAAGATATGTAATTTAGTACACTTGATGTAGCTTTAAATACATTTTATAATGGTGATATATAGGATAACATAGCAATATTACTATAGGGTATTGTGGTTATTCTTGAATTTCAATTCCACATCATTGATTGAATTTGGTAGGACAATCAATGATTAATATGAAGCATTAAACAACTGTTTCTTCCAATGTACCAATGTACATCCACTACAATCATTAAGTATGGAACCCTGAACGTTCAAACCTCACTGAATCGCTTGGCCTGTAGACTAACGAACTGATGCCTAATGGCTCCTCTGTCTGGACCCAGTTAGTTCATGCGTACTAAAATGAACCAGCCTTTCAATAATTCCTAAGGAGGTTTTGTACTTATTTTAAATTATAATCTTATTATGTAACTCTATTCTGAAATCACACAAAACTTTAAATTGCTACACTAGATACAAATTAAAAACTGTCAGTATTTTATCATTAAACAATCTTATAATTTCATTGAAATCATGAACCAACCAGTCATAGATCATAATTGAAAACCATAAACTAATGAACAGTCATTTTATCCCAATATGGAACTCCTCAAAAGTGTGCACCCACAAAACACAATCATAGATCGAATACTTAAACTCCAGACGACTGAGCCGACATCCAACGATCTCATTGTCTAACCTTAACCAATCCATGATATCGCACTACCATCTTTCATTTCCTTCGGTGTGTAACTGCCTCATATCCGATACAGTTTAATCCCACTGGTCACGGCTTCTCACTAGAACTCTAAAAATCACCTCTCGATGCTCGTCACTAGTGAGCACATGATAATTGTATGTATTAGAAGTTGGCCACTTGATATCGTGAATTGCTTGAGGTTATATATTAACTCTGTTGAATGTTGAGTCAGTGATCTAGTGGTTAAGAGTCCCACGAGACCTAAGATCTTAAATTCGAGTCTTTTATGTAATATCATTGATAAGGATTGTTGAAGAGTTACATATTGAGACGAAATAACCATTCTAGTTTTAAATATTAGTCTAATTCATTATTTTTCAATAAACATTTAACAATCTTCATTAACATATAATCAATCTATTCTATAATTGTAAAATAAACTTGGTTGAAGTTAGACATTAATACCATCGGATGCCGACTCAGTGGTCTAATGAGTAAGTGCGCGCGCGCGCGAAGCCAGTAGGTCCTGAGTCCGAATCCCGTGGAGGGGGGCGGGTTCGTGGGTGCGCACTGCTGGCTAATATTTCTCAAGGTCATCCAGGGTTCGTTGAAAGATCGTCCATAAATTAGAGTCTCGCCAGTAAAATAAATAGTGTACATATGGTCGTTTAAATAAAGTAAAGTCGTGGATGCGCACTGCTGAGGAGTCCCATACTAGGACGAAACGGCCGTCCAGTGCTCCCAGGTTTTCCATGGTGGTCTAGCTCCAATTGACTCATGATTTCAACTTGTTAAATAAACTTTTATTGATTTTCATTGATATAAAACAGTAATAAAATCAATAATTTTAGTGACTAAGAGATATTCTTAATAGATAAACATTTTTTTTCTTTATTTGAATATAGTTTTCCTTCATTTAACAAAATGTATATCATTGGTCAATAAATGAATGAATGAATAAGTAACTAAGTCAGTAAGTAAGTGACTATGTACAAGTTTATTGACTGAATTGAAAAATTCACGCCCATTATTTTTATCATTATAAGTAGTAATTTTAAAAGAAAAATATTGATGAGTAACACTAGACTAATCTTGAGAATGCCCACTTAGAAACTAGGATCAAATGAGGATTATAAACCAATGTGTGAGGAATTCTGTTTGAGGGGTTTTGTTATAACTTGTGGTCTGTGTACCCTGTTAGTGTATAACCTAATGATACCGTTAATTAGAGAACAGTGATTTATCGATAGAAACAATGACTCATAAAACCCATACGAGCAGTCTAGAGTTCTCATTAGTCCTGATTCCCGACTAGCTCAGTCAGTTAAGTTCAGAACACCAATCTCAACCCACGTGATATGAATCATTTATTTCAAACATACTGAGTTTACATACCAATCAAACAGACCACATCGTACCAATAAAATAGGAAACAACATTTGTACAGGATTTAGCCAAATGTGGCTGTGAGTGTAGGAGGTAGTAATGAATAGACAGGGAATAATTCAAGAATGGGAAATCGTAGAATAATAGTTCATAGGTCAAAATAAAGCTCATAGTAAGCGGGACATGAACATGAATAGTTTACTTATTTAACAGCTACACAGTAGAAATATATGTATAGTATTGATCCATAAAGGGGTCCCAAAAGTTACCATTCATTATGCTCATTGGGGCATAACAGGTTTTCATCACGAACTGATGTCAGCTATCATGCCAAGACTCTAGTTAGCCAAATGCATGAAGGAATTTCGCACTCAAAATTCAAAATCTGTTATTTTATACCTGGTTGATTCGTTCGTAAATTATAGTCTCGCTAAAACTTTTATTTCTCTATAGATATATTTTTATATTTTTCCCAAGTTTTCATTTTTTTATGCTTTAAATGATATTGACGATTGTAGTTGAGATAGTATAATTTGTCTGAAGTAATGAAGAATAATCGTAGCCCAATTGGATATTCTTGGTGATGTTGTATCCTCTGAGCTACTAATGGTTCAATTGTCGAAGTTCTATTGTCATTCTAAATGATATTCATACCATCTACATAAAGTAGGAGATGAAGATATTCAATGAAAGCTTCAGAATTATACCAACTGTAGCTCAGAGAATACAATATCAAACACTAATTGTCTGTCTCGATGTCTTAAGTCTTTGTTTCCGTTACATTTGATCAATTTACTATTCATTCAATGCTAGGGTGTTGTAAATTAGTGTTTTTTATTAAAAGTTTCATTTGAAGTTCCGAAATTCACGATTGCTGTGTTTTTTCACAGGACATGTCAGAGTGCGTTACACAGGGCATATTTATTGTAAACAGTTGTAGTTAACTCCAGATGTTCAAAATAAAAAAATCTAGACTGAGAATTATATACAACATGGAACCGGTCAAATAAATGTACTGGTTCAAATTACTGCACAATATCAAAAGAACAAGACAAAATTATTAGTATAAATACCAGAGTAACAATATTTTCATAGGTAAGCAAAACTAATTATATAGAAACAATAACCATTCTACAAGATATAACGAAAGTTTATGTAGTTCTAGACAAATATCAAATGTGTCTGCACCATCACAACTATTTCTAATCTATTCGACCTAACTCACTGCCTTCTCGCACCACGGATGTTGTTTACGAAATTGAGAGGACGAAAAGCAAGCATCCGGAGCTTTAACCGGGTTGATGGATACGGAGGACCCATATAGGGCAGATGGAAAACATTGATTACAAACCAATGGGTTACTAAAGGGAATAAACGGCTTATGAAGCGATCGTTGACCAACGACTACAATGGGACTGAATCTCCTGACGTTGCTCCACTGCTTTGTGGATTACACCTTTAGGTCGAAGGCTCCGAACGTGGCACTATAAGAAAATCACTTACTTTAGTTTGGGCACCCGAACAGTATCCCAGCCCACGCACAAATCAACTGACTTGTGTGGCACATATCTATTTGGTGTCTCTTTGTACCAATGTTTACGGGTTGAAATAAATAAATAAAAAGAGTTTTGATGGAGTTTTGTTCTCTGAGCTGGATGGTTTGGTCCAGCTCAGAGAACAAAACTCCATCAAAATCATCCACCTGAGCTACAAATCTTCTCCACCATCTCAAATAAAAAGAGTTATGATCATCATATAGACCCCATTTAGGCAGTCTACATTTATCTACACTGACTTATGCATTATGATTTAAGTCCTAGGACTAGCAACGTCAAGATCAGGTATAACTACTTTAAAGTATGATATATACAAAACAATACATTATAACATTATAACGTAATATATACATATATATATATCCAAACTTAACTCCGCCTGCAGTCCCTCCGGGGGCTTCTGCCGATCCCAAGCCCGGACAACAGAGGAGAATTGGGCATAGGGTTAGCGACCCCATCCCGTAGAAAATTAACCCGCTTAAAAAAACGCTAACCAGAAATATATCCAAACTTACTGTTATAGTTTCCAACATCGTATAGAATGATTACAAAAATTACGGTGTTTCACAATGATTCAATAATTCCGGTAAAAAAAGTAAAAGAAAATTCTAAAAGAAAAAAAAACAAAAAGGAAATATAAACTCAATACGATAAATTGAAAAAGAATTGAGAGAAACACAAAAAAATGCAGTTTTTTTTCTCCTTTTTCACTTTGTTTACATTATTATATTCAACCAAAACATAACTTTCTATTATAGTTGTGGAAATTTATTTTTCTCAAAAATTCAATAAAAACTAATATTAATAGTTAGGATCATGAGTCAATTGAAGTTAGACCATCGCCTCGTGAGATTCAAATTCAGGACTTATCAGTCCCACGTGCGAGCGCTTAACCTCAAGACCACTGAGCTAGCCACCCTCCAACGGTATTAATGTCTAACTTCAACCAATCCAAGAAATTAAGTGACACATTCACTACTGTCTTCAGTGCAGGATCGTGGATGAGCACTGCCACTGAAGAGTCCCACAATAGGATGAAACGACCTTCCAGTGTCTCCAGGTTCTTCATGGTGGTCTAGCTTCAATTGACTCATCATCTCAACTATTGAATTTACTATGAAATCCACAAAACCTCTTCTGATACTACAAACTAATATAACAACTAAATGTTAACCTTTCCCCCCTTAGTGATTAATCACTTTTATTCAATTTTAATATAATGAAACTAATTTGTATTTATTTCAAGGTTTGAATATGCTTAATGAATGTTATCTTAGTAACCACTATTATCTTGTATCCATTAACGAAACTGAAACGGAATGGATATGAAATCTTAATAGAAAATAACACTTGAGTATTGATGTTTTGAAAGATCTAAAGTAAACTCTATTTATGAGTGATTATTGACTGTTCTAATACAATACAACTAATGAGATACCAAATGTATCGGACCTTTAACACATAATAACACATCAGAGTTGATAATACATATGATGATAAGAGAAAAAGAAGATGAGACTTTCAGAATATTTCTATGGTACATAGAAAAATCGAACAACTCTGTAATTACAATGACATGAAATGATCTTGGAATACAAACTAAAAGCGATAACAATCAATCAAATAACAGAAATGATCATTGTGGTAATATGAATTTGAAAAATATCATTGCAGGATTACTCAGGATAGAGTTAGATGGAGAGCGCTGGTAGGCGGCCTATGCTCCTCCACGAGAGGTAACAGGCTTAAGTAAGAAAGTAATATATACGACTGTACAGGATCAAGAATGAAATTTATGAGAACAAATACATTTTCATATAAATAGACCTTTATTTACTACAAATAGAATTAACTTAATGATACCGATGATGGTAGATAGTCATTATATTTCTTGATTACTAACTGATTGTGATCATCTTGTCTACATTGAAACTATTTAATGAACAATAAATTTATATCATGTCACACTAGAATTTTAAAAAGTTACATTTAACAAGGTACTCGCTTCGGCGGTACATATACTAAAATTGGAACGATACAGAGAAGATTAGCATGGCCCCTGCGCAAGGATGACACGCAAAATCGTGAAGCGTTCCATATTTTTAACTCCGCCTGTAGCTCTTATAGGGTTGCTGCCGGTCCCAAGCCCGGGTAAAGGAGGAGGGTTGGGCATGGGGTTAGCGTCCCCATCCCGTAGAAAACTAACTCGCTAAAAAAACGCTTACCAGAAAAAATAATCCAAACCATTTTAACTCTGCCCTGGGAGTTAGAAGGTCTTCATTTAGAAGAATTATGACGCTTCATGGTGAAAGCCGAGTTCCTTCGGAAGCCACGAGGCCGATGCCCCTTCTAACAACCAGAGCAAAATTTTTTATAGGTACATGGAACGTTCGAACAATGTGGGAGACCGGGAAGACAAGTCAAATAGCAATGGAAATGAGGAGATACAACTTAGCAGTACTGGGAATCAGCGAAACCCACTGGACCCAAACTGGACAGAAAAGGCTAGCTACGGGAGAGATGCTGCTATACTCCGGTCACGAAGAGGACAATGCTCCACACACTCAGGGAGTCGCTCTTATGCTGTCCAAAGTAGCACGAAATGCACTTGTAGGATGGGAATCTCACGGATCCAGAATCATCAAAGCATCATTCAAAACAAAGAAGGAGGGGATCACAATGAATATTATCCAATGTTATGCACCCACCAATGATAGCAACGACGAAATTAAAGATCAGTTCTACGAGCGGCTGCAGTCAATCATTGAGAAATGCCCAAGAAAGGACCTAACTATTCTGATGGGAGATCTAAATGCCAAAGTCGGAATAGACAACACTGGATGTGAAGATATTATGGGACGACATGGACTGGGAGAGAGAAACGAAAATGGAGAAAGATTTGCAAATCTATGTGCATTCAACAAATTGGTCATAGGAGGCACAATATTTCCACACAAGCGTATACACAAGGCTACATGGATCTCACCGGACCACACTACAGAGAACCAAATAGATCATATTTGCATCAACAAAAAATTCCGAAGGACAATGGAAGATGTGAGAACCAGGAGAGGTGCTGACGTAGCTTCAGATCACCACCTAGTTGTAGCCAATTCGAAACTGAAGCTAAAAAAGAACTGGACAAGTGGACAAACAGCAATACAAAGGTTCAATACAGCCTTCCTTCGAGATACTGTCAAACTCAATGAATTCAAGATAGCTCTCAACAACAGGTTCCAAGCCTTACGAGATCTACTGAAAGAAGAAGAAACTACTATGGAGGACAACTGGAAAGGCATCAAGGAAGCATTAACTTCAACGTGTCAAGAGGTTCTGGGTCTAAAGAAATACCATCATAAGGAATGGATCTCTACAGAAACATTGGACAAGATCAAAGAAAGGAAGAACAAGAAGGCAGCAATAAACAACAGCCGAACACGAGCAGAGAAAGTCCAAGCACAAGCTGAATACATAGAAGCAAACAAACAAGTGAAGAGGAGCATTAGAGCCGACAAGAAGAAATACGTGGAAGAACTAGCAACGACGGCAGAAAAAGCTGCTAGAGAAGGAAATATGAAGCAGCTTTACGATACAACGAAGAAACTATCAGGGAAATACAGTAAACCAGAGAGGCCGGTCAAAGACAAAGAAGGCAAGCCAATCACCGAAATTCAACAACAGCGTAACAGATGGGTAGAATACTTCGAAGAGCTCCTGAATAGGCCGGCTCCAATGAATCCACCGAACATCGAAGCAGCACACATAGATCTTCCTATAGATGTCAATCCACCAACTACGGAAGAAATTAGAATGGCCGTCAGACAAATCAAGACCGGGAAAGCAGCGGGACCCGACAACATACCAGCTGAAGCACTGAAATCAGACATCGAAGCAACCACAAGCATGCTTTATCTTCTATTCAAAAAGATTTGGGAGGAGGAACAAGTGCCGATGGACTGGAAAGAAGGACACCTCGTCAAGATTCCAAAGAAAGGAGATCTGAGCAAATGTGAAAACTACAGAGGCATAACACTACTGTCAATACCAGGGAAAGTCTTCAACAGATTGTTGCTGAACCGGATGAAGGATGCAGTAGACGCCCAACTTCGAGATCAACAAGCTGGATTCCGTAAGGATCGGTCGTGCACAGATTAAATTGCAACACTACGGACCATCGTCGAACAATCAGTTGAGTGGAACTCATCACTATACATCAACTTCATTGATTATGAAAAGGCATTCGACAGTGTAGATAGGAAGACATTATGGAAACTTCTTCGACACTACGGAGTTCCTCAGAAGATTGTCAATATTATCCGGAACTCATACGACGGACTACAGTGCAAAGTAGTGCATGGAGGACAGCTGACAGATGCGTTCCAAGTAAGGACCGGAGTCAGACAAGGCTGTTTACTCTCTCCCTTCCTCTTTCTTCTGGTGGTCGACTGGATTATGAAGACCTCAACATCTGAAGGAAAACACGGAATACAATGGACAGCTCAGAACCAATTAGATGATTTGGACTTCGCAGATGACCTAGCCCTCCTATCACGTACACACGAACAGATGCAGATAAAGACAGCCAGTGTAGCAGCAGTCTCTGCATCAGTAGGCCTCAGCATACACAAAGGGAAAACTAAGGTCCTCAAATTCAAAGCGGAGAACAGCAATCCAATCACACTTGATGGCGAAACTCTGGAAGATGTAGAGTCCTTCACATACCTGGGAAGCATCATCGATGAACAAGGAGGCTCAGATGCAGACGTAAAGGCGAGGATCGGCAAAGCAAGGGCCGCTTTCCTACAATTGAAGAACATATGGAACTCAAAACAACTTTCAACCAATATCAAAGTAAGAATCTTCAATACGAACGTCAAGGCAGTTCTACTGTATGGAGCTGAAACTTGGAGAACTACAACAACCACAATCAAGAAAGTACAAGTATTTATAAATAGCTGTCTACGCAAGATACTCAACATCCATTGGCCGGATACCATCAGCAATAGCCTTCTGTGGGAGAGAACAAACCAACTTCCAGCTGAAGAAGAAATTAGGAAAAGACGATGGAAATGGATAGGACATACATTACGCAAATCGTCGAACTGCATCACGAGGCAAGCCCTAACTTGGAATCCTGAAGGGAAGCGAAAAAGAGGAAGGCCAAAGAACACATTGCGTCGGATAATAGAAGCAGATATGAAAAGGATGAATTACAACTGGACGGAGCTAGAAAGGATTGCCCAGGACAGGGTTGGATGGAGAACGCTGGTGAGCGGCCTATGCTCCTTCACGAGGAGTAACAGGCGTAAGTAAGTAAGTAAGTACATTTAACAAGATTAACTGAAGTAAAATTCAATATTGGTTAACAGTAGAATACAGGACTCTCATTGTTTCGTCCGATTTTGGACTCGTCAGCTGGATATACCTGAACCTCAGTGTTGATATACACACTGGGATTCGAACCCATTACCCATTGCATCAAATGATCGGCACGTTATTCACATTGCAATGATAATAACAAAATGGAAATATT